TTGGATTGAGATCTGGGGAATTTGGAGGCCAAGTCGACACCTTGACAGCTCTCACTTCTCCTTCCCGAATGTCTAGGTGGATACCTGACAGAGTCTTTTTGCTGAGTTAAAACAATTACAGACAGTTTAGGACTGACTGCCTATGAAATCTATTCTGTTAAAAAAAGACATACATAAACTTAACCATAAAGGTAAATAATATTGGCAGTTCATGATTCATTACTTTTGACAGGTTTTATTTATGAACAGGCAGACAAAGGATAAATGTAACATCCGGATTTCAACAACATTTCAAAAGATTCTAATTTGTTCATGATTACATAAATACACAAATAAACTATCGGAAAGAAGTCAGCAGCTTCATGTGCCTCTATGTCCACATCACTGAGGACCTGACATGGACTCTTCACACTAACATCACCAAGAAAGCTCGATAGCGGCTCTTCTTCCTCCGCAGGCTGAGGAGGTTCAACTTGGACTCCAGGATACCCTGACCTTCTACAGGTGCACCATAGAGAGCATCCTGACTGGCTGCATCACAGCCTGGTACGGCAGCTGCACCGACCTCAATCGTAAAGCTTTACAGAGGGTGGTGAAACCTGCACAGAACGTCACCAGGACGGAGCTGCCATCCATGGAGGACCTCTACTCCCAGCGGCTCAGGAAGAAATCCCTCAGGATTATAAAAGACCCCCATCACCCCAGCCACAAACTGTTCTGTCTGCAGGTGGTACCGCAGCATCAGGACAACAAACCCAAGACTCACTGACAGTTTCATCCCGCAGGCCATAAGAATACATAAAGTCTGAGCTTGCACTATTATTATTGTTGTTATTTAAAACAACATTTCTGACACTCCCTCTGACCAAGTATAACTTTGAGAAAATTGTTAACAGTTTAGTGTCATTTACAATTGTAAAATGCATTTGTAGGGTTCCTCAAGGCCTGGTATTAGGCCCACTATTATTTTACTTTTTAAAGAGATTTGACTTGTTGTTTCCCCGAAACATTAAAGTTTATTGTTTTTTCATATAACACATTATTTTTTCTTTTCAGAATGTGAAACATTTATTTGATAGCATTTTTAAATTACACATCTTTAAGACATTAAGCCTTCGTTTGATTCTTATTGTGGCGCAAATTGCTATAGCGAATGCCATTTAAGGTGGTGAAAAGACATACGAATGAATCACCTTGAGTAACTGGAGGGACATTTGGTAAAAGCTTTGTTGAAACTCACAGAACTTTATTATAACTGTAGTCAAAGATACAGTTTTGTTACATTTCAGGAGAAATCCATATACAATGATTCCCGCCATTATTTCCATTTGATGAAATGATCTCAAACTGTATTTTACGCAGTGTAAACACCATACAGTGTGCTTTTCACTCACCATGCAGGCAACACTCCAGATGTCAGCGGACGGGCCGTACTCAGATCCCAGTAAAACCTCCAGTGAGCGGTACTGACGGGTCTGAATCTCCTCACAGAAATGTTTGTACTTCACCAAGAAAGAGAGGGACAGACATAAAGATCACAATTATATTGTACACCCTCATGTACTATAAATTATTCTTAATAAAATAAATCTAGCTTAATTGGAATAAACAAGGCCATCATTAATATTAAGTAAATGCTACAATGCAAATCTTACTATGCAAATCTTTCAATGATAATATGTGAGCATTATTTGTGCACCAATCAGAATTAACTTGAGTGCATATGAAAATGTGATGACAGTCACAGGGTTGTTTGCCTATCTTAGTTTCACATCAAGCAGTTATGGTGTTTCCTTAGCAAACAAATGTAGCATCCCCCAGGTATTGATGTGTCAGACTTTAAAATGGATGTATGTAAAGTTAATCAAGCAACTATCTTCTTATTATAGACACATGAATTTCCAAACATTTGGTCTACCTACGCTGTAAAATGTATTATCTCTTTGATTTACACACGGTATCTATTGCACATCTGTCCGTCCTGGGAGAGGGATCCCTCCTCTGTTGCTCTCCCTGAGGTTTCTCCCATGTTCCCCTTTAAACTGTGGGTTTTCTCTGGTTTTTCCTTGTACGATGTGAGGGTCTAAGGACAGAGGGTGTTGTTTTCCCATACTGTTATTCTGCACAAACTGTGCTGTTGTATTTGTTGTAAAGTGTCCTTATTGCAAAGTATTTTTACTGTATGTACAGCACTTTGGCTTGACCAAAAATCGTTTTAAAAATGTGTTATATAAATAAAACTTGATTTGATTTGATTTGAACTACTGACCACCCAGCAGGAGCTTCCTAGGTCTGCAATCTTCACTGTAAAGTCCTTTAAACTGTCAGAGTTAATCTGCCCTTTCTCTGAAAGAAACAACAAGAAATAATGTATTAGCATCTTAGTAAAAAATGATATCTGATAATAAGACAGTTTCTCCATGTCTGATATTTGAGATTGTATGCATTTTGCATCTTAAGTTATGAAGAATAATTTGTTTTCTTCCTGTGTTATTTTAGACATCAGTACAACACACTAATATTTACAATATACGTTTAAAGAGCAGAAGATATATTTGAAACCAGACATTTGCACAGAAATAGGCTAAGAGTTCATCTGATTTATACTCAAATGTGATGAACCCTGCATAGCAGCTCAGACAGCTCAGCTGGTATCCGTCCAGCTTCAAGACTTCACTCAAACAATCTCCAGCATCTGTAGCAATAAAAAAAAAAAGTGCCTGTGGACTTGGCCTCTTTCCCATTGAGCACAGAGGGCGAGCTGCTCTCCCCTGTTGGTTCTTTGTGGGACTGCTCCTCCATACACAGCAGGATGTTCTCAGGCTTGATGTCTGTGTGGATGATTTTACACTGTGTGTGAAGATGTTCCAGGCCCTGCAGAATCTAGAGAGAAAGAAACAGCAAAACAGAGACATTGGGTAATCTAAACACATATTTATCCTCTGCCTTCAATTGTGCAGACCCACAGTGTGTTGAAATGTAAACGTAAGTGGTATACACAAAAAATCTCAAAAGGTTGACATTATCAATATACTTTACTTCAGTAGAGGCAATTGTTGATAAGATGGGTCTAGCTACTATCCTGTTAAGCCCCAAGCCTGTTTTTCAGGTCTCAGGCTCGAAAATGACATTCCCAGAACAAATGACCATATCTTCCCTTCTAAAAAGGGGAAAAGGAATAATCTTTTTTCTCAAAGTAATGATAAACCTGTGAGTTGGATGTAGAGAAGTCAGAATCAATATAGATGTTTTTTTATTTTAAAGAAAATTCAGATTGAACATAGTAAAAAACTATAAATTATAGTGTCCGTCCAAAAATAATTTTGTACTTATTGTGAAAACTACCCTTGGATGATGGGTTAGTAGACTAAAAGCTTTAGGAATCCAAAGTACAACATATAATAAGTACCCTGTATCAAGATTGATGCAAAATAAGTGACATTTGACCTTTTTAGAGAGGTTTAGCAAAATAAACTCCACCTCTGGAGTGATTTGGGTGGAAATGGGCGTTGTTGCCGTTTCTCTGGAACCCATTGGTCAATTTTGATGATTGGCATCTCTTTTGAACCGTTAGAGCCAATATAATTGAAGGGACATTTCCACATACACACCAACGTTACCATTGAGAACATGGGGGCTATGCGCACGCAGTTTGCCAAAGCTAAAGCAATTTTACGCTTCTGAAATCTGAAAACTAGGTTTGATTGTTCATGGATTATCAGAAATAATTTCAAAGTGACACAGACACATTGGATTAACCTATGGATTAACCTTCAGTAGTGTTTTTATCGTATAAATGCCATTGAACACAACTTTTGATCAGACAACAACAGAGGTAAGACATACTGCCGTGTTTGCTACCTACTGTAATGCCACGTGTTGTGATGTCTGTTTTAGTTTCTAATGTCACGAGTTCTGATCATGGAGTGATGATATAGATACCCATCGATTCTGTGTATTCTCACGATGCTAATTGATGGATTGGATGTGCAGTTACGATAAGTAATAAGAGTGTTATACCTTGAGTTCTGTGCTAACGGCGTTAGCATTTTTTCGCTCATTCAGAGGCTCAGCGTTAGCCTTGTGTTTTTTTAATGAGCTGAGTTTCTTCCCGTTACATGGACATGAACCATTCATAGTTTATTCAATCTTAAGATGCCCTCAGGCACCGTTGCCTGCAGATGTTGTGGTTTCGGACCCGCCGAAGGGTCCGTGGGGCTTAAGAGGCTAAGTACAAACGGCATGTAGAGAGCACCAAATCAATGGCTTCGGGACTTCTCGGTTAACGTTTCTGTCAACAACATTATAAGCAACATTTATGTTTCCAACGTTTCCACAGATGGATTCCTGACTATTTGGGCTGACAAGGTGGTGAAACTGTCACAAAACATAATTTTCTCCTGGGATTAAGAAAATATTTTGATTGACTGATTGATCCAAGTCAATTCTGACATTGAAGGCAAAATAGTTTTCTCTGTCTAAATGTGAGTACTGAATTTCACTGAATTTCTTAAAATCGTATCCTTGGAAAGAGTTTTACAAAATATCTAATTCTTAAGGTTTCCTAAACAATGTTGGTTACAGTACATGAGAAATACTGTAGAAGAGGCAACGTTTAGAAAATACCTGTGTCAATGTATACTAATCTTAGTTTTCTGAGGTTTTCTTTACCTGGGTCAGTATTTGTTTGACAGAACACTGCGCCAGTCCAGGATTCCCAAAACAGAGCTGCCAGCTCCTCAGGTCGGGCCCCAACAGCTCCAGCACCAGACACATGTCTGACCACCAGACATTAAGGTCCGTTTTACAGGTCTGCAGACTATTCACTAGGCATTAAGTGTATGACACAATGCTAAACGGTCTGTCTCTGAAAACAATGCTCTGGTAGAGATTGCACAGATGTGTTCAATATATAAAATAAAGTTGATATTGACAGTCTGACCAGCACATGAAAACTCTTCCGATCTGGCTTATGCCCAGTCTGTAAAAAGGATACGGACCCCGTTGACCCCGGCCAGCTTGAACTCATCGAGCAACTGAACGATCCTTTGACTAGAGGGGCGACGGCTCGTAGGACCGGTTGCCTGATTAAAGAGAGAAGGGAAGGAGCTTTACAAGTAAGACTAAAAAAGCAGACAATAGATAAGACATAAAGAAGAAAACGATGAAAGGGCATTACAAATTTTGGACATTGCAATTTAGCATTGGTGAGGGTATTGTCGGGTGGAAAGGGATATAGTTGACAAGGGTATACAACAATTGTAAAGCCAAGTGCTTGGACAAATAGTAAGATAAATAGCATTTGACAGAAAGGGTAGGACATGTTAGACAGTAGGAACAGCAGTCACTGACGCATCGTAGGAGAGCCAGTTCATCCTGTCCTGCCTGGGTGAAACCAGCTCCGCTCTTCAGGACCTTCACAGCAACGCTCCGACCCAGCCTGCTAACACAGACATTACATCAGATCTGCCCTGGGACAGGAGAGCTGCTGAATCCACAGAATAATGTATTTGTAATCATCATAAGAACAAAGTGAAAGAAACGGGAATGTACAAAAACTATTAGAGGGGGCTGGGTGGTTAAAAACAAAATGTGGTAAAATATATTTACGTTCAATTTTTTGTATGGTTGGTTATTTCGATGTTGTTCTAACTTTAATTATATCTTATTGTGCTCATTCCTCAGTTATAATCATTAATCATTCTCATGATTAATGGTAGGAACGTGCAGGTGTTTGTGTTCTTAGATTTGCTTATAACAATATTTCTCCATCCCTTCAGAGCATCGTTGAAGACCCTCAGTCCAACTTTTAATTACTTTTGTAGTTATTGTGGGTCATTGAAATCATTTCCAATTTTAACAAATAATTATATATTGCATATATTACATTAGGTATACATTTTATTTTAATAAAAGCAAAACTAGCATATTGCACACAGGAAGCTATTTAACTAGGTAACTTTGCACCCAAAGCTTCCCTTTTTTTTTATTATTTGTAGTAAATGTGGTATTATCAGGTCATAAAGCCTTATTAATGTTGTTGTAAGTGTGATGATTCTGTTTAGTTTTGGTTTTGTTGTGTGCTTTTTTTTTGTTTTCTTCCTCCCTCCTCTGTTTTCCACTGCAGGGCTGGTGTGTGACAGGGAGTTGGCTGGCTCCTCCCAGCAGCAGACGAGGCACACCTGTTTTCACTCACCTCTTCACCTGTTGACATAAAAGCCTGTTCCTCATGCCACTTCCCTGCCAGGTCATTCCTTTGTGTTCAACCCTCCGGTATGTCTCGCTGCTCTCCTCGTCCCTGTGATCTCTTCGCCTGAATTTGTGCCTCCTGTCCCTGACGTCTCCGTGCCAGCAAGCTTCCTGACTCCACTGCCGTTTACTGTGCCTCTGCTTAAAATAAACTTTTTTTTTTTGACCATCTCTCTCTAAGTCTTTTGCTTTGGGGTCCAATATCTC